AAATATTGGTTTGATGATGTGATTTAAAATCTCATCCAATTAATCTTATCTTTATAAAAAAAAAATGACACCTCATCAACAATACCTATGAGTAAAGATGACATTTTTGTAACTTGATCGGATGGACTCAAGTCATAGAAATGTAATCTTACCTCTAATAAGTAAGCATAATCATCATTAAACCAAATTGAAAATGTAGCGATTAATTTATATTATCCACATTAAGATCATTTTTCTTCCCCAAACACTCTCGTAATCTTAGTTTCATTTGAATCAAAAGCGAATCGATTATATGATTCATCAGTTTTAAATATATTTTATTATAGTTTATGATTTGTGGGAACTGAATGAAACCAATGGTTTTGATTCAAATAAATAATTTTATTTTTTTAAAATAAATTTGATTAAAACCCCTTTGACCAATCGTTTGGGACTATTTGGATTGACTATTTGAGCCTAACGGTCCAATAGTCGATTGTTTGAGGTATGTAAAGATATTTTAGTTATTATATAATTAAAAAAATCCAACAAACATATAACAATTAGTTTTTGGTGCATTTTAGGAATTTTTTTTCTTCTAAAAATGCTATAAATACTATCCAATCGATTAAGCACTTATAATACTATAAAACTCTATTTTGACTATAGTTGCAATGTTCTTTTTGATAAGTCCTCTCCCATCCCCCTCATACTCTATAATCTCAAGAATTTTAAGAGTCAAATCATGTCAACTCAAAAAAGTCAATATCTTATTAAAGGTGAGGACAATCAATACAATGGGCAATGCAATCAAGTCATTTTCATAAAACTTTGAGTCCAACAAAAGGGATGGATATGAAACATTTTGAATACATCTTGCAAAGAAATACCTTACATAAGCCAAGATAAAAAAAAAATATATTTTTTCGAATACCCAATTAATCCGAATTTTTACTTTAGAAAATAAGAAAAACCCGAAACCCTCATATATATATATATATATATAATAATAATAATAATAATAATAATAATATTTTAACAAACCATAAGTCGTCGATATGGGATTTCATGCAAATATCATAAAGAGTAAAATATTTCGTAAAATTAGACAATATTGTAGTGAAAAAATAATAATTAATTAATTTTGTTTTCATTAATTGGTCCAATAAATATTGTAAAACTATTTTGTTTTTAACATATGCGGTTGGGATATTATTTTGTTGTTGTTATTGGTCCAATAACTCTGATCAAATCCGTTAAAATGTCATCCAACGTCTCTGATCAAATCTGATCTCGCACATCAACCGACGTTTGTGATCGAATGCGATGGAAACATTAAACCACCCCGCAGAAAAGACGGCGTGGGAGCTCCGTTATTGGTGACTGTTTTCCCACCCGAGAAATCGAGCCCAAACTACCTTTTATTCCCATTTTGTATTCCCCCTCTTTTGTACCGATCGCGGCCCGCATTTCGTCCTCCCCCAGACCTCGAGCGCCCGCGTCCGGGGGCTCCGGCGATCGAAGATGAGCGGCGGCCGGCTGTGCGCCGTCCTGGGGGAGCTGGGGTTCGACGCCCAGGACGCGCTCGATCCGGACAGCTTCGAGTGGCCCTTCCAGTACGAGGAAGTCCGTCCCCTTCTCGATTGGATCTGCTCCAGCCTTCGGCCTTCCAATGTCCTCTCCCCCTCCGAACTCTCACAGTATAACCTCCTCCTCCTCCTCCTCCTCCTTTCTCTTCTTTTTAATCGCTATTTATCGTGTAATGAGGGAAAAATTGGGGATTACCGTGGTTTTAGGTGATGCAGGTTGGAATGTCTTTCTGTTTGGAGGATTTCTGGACTCACTGCCTCAGGCACGGTGCTATTGTTTGTTATTGTAACGACATGCCATTTTGCGTAGCTTTTGGTGCATGTGCTGGGGTAATGACCTCCTAGAAGAATGTAGCAGTCAGTAGAGGCCCCAAAAGAAATTTGAATCTATATTTGTTGATAGTCCCGGAAAAGGGTTCAAAAAATAATACAAAAATATCAAAATCAAAACATTTCTCTCGGCGCAATCATAAGTGTGTTAGTCTCGAAGGCTGAAGGATCCATGACATAATAGATCAAACAAGACTGTTTTGAACCTACATTCAGTTAGACTCAAATTACATACTTCCAACTTCTGTTGTGAAAATAAGGCTCAATTTGACTCGAATAGATAAGAGTCTAATGTTATATACAACTAGGACTTAGGATCAATCTTTTAAGCTGATCTATACTGTATTAGATGTCTTCTTTTGTGACTGATCTTGTTTGGATGATTTTTTCTGGTTTGATGTTCAAGATTTGGTTGTGAACCTAATTCTCCATACTTGTGCATTATGGTTATTTCTAGCTTTGTCTCAGTGCCATATTCAAGTTAGATCTCTTCACATACTCCCCTCGTGAATGCTAGTAATATGTTCTTGGTAGTGTAGTCAAAGATGTCAAATTCTTATGAAAGTCATTTGAACAAGGGTGCAAAAATGTTATCAGCCTCGAAGAGAACAAAATCCAGGAAGAATGCTTAACTCCGAAAACTTAAACGTTATCAGTTATGGACAATTGGACACCATGTGTGTTAACATCTCAGATCTTGTCCCATTATGACAACTAATCCTGCGGCATCAGCCATCGGGGCATCTTGCCTCTAGTGCATATCTGAGTGTTGATTGTGGAGTTTCTATGCGAATGATAAAGAAGAATGACGATGTATTTTCTTTTTCTTCTTTTATAATTCAGGAGTAACAAATTCATCTCTATACATTAGGTCTTAAGATGGGACTTACGGTTTTGTTGTTGTTGTATAAATTAAGTTTTGAAGAAATTTCAAGGGTTTGGACTTTGTATTTGATATGGTTGGATGATAGTGCCGTGATCATCATTATTTTTTTTAATTTTTAGTGTACAAGCCTTAGTATGTAAGAAAGGGAGTGATCATGGGCATTTGTGGTATGAATGGGTCTGGAGCACAGAAGCCTTAGAAAGTAAGCTAGAAGTTGCTTTTGATTCGGGATGGTATTTTCCTCGATATTTGGAAGAAAATATGGTGGTTAAATTTTATCTTAAATTCGGGTCCTGTTCGTTATCTAACATTTTTTTTTATTATTGGGACTGCAGGTATGAACAATTTCTGCATGAAGGAAAGCTGCTGGAGGTAGTGTATAGTTAATTTCTGAACATGGCCATTTTTATAGCACATTTGTTCTTAAGAAAAGTGAAGATGGAATGTTACTTTACATGGGCTTTGCTAAAATGAGATGAAAATGAAGCTGAAGCCCCTCCGCTATGTATTACATATATTCTTACTATCCCTGTAAATAATAAAATTACTAAGGATGCAGTATAGGTTATCATGATTCATGTTGTCTACATGAACTGACCCTTTAAACTTTTAACTACTTTTGGTACTGGAGTCCAGATGTGTTTGTTAAAAGTCTCATAGCTTATCTAGTAAAATCTTGTCATCGAGGCTCTCTCATCCACAACCGATGAATTCATGTTTGACAAGTATGAGATAAAATGCATATCCATGTCAATACTTCACATACTATTTGGTTATATGATTAAATCACTTTGTGGTTGCTCTTTTTCAACAAAAACTACATCCTATCATGCCTTGTTTTTCCTGATCTTATGTAGTCACATTCATGCATTAGTAAATTATAAGTATCCTATGGTATCCTATGTTTATCTTCGTTTGTTCAATGTTTATTCTGATACTAAACATGTTGGTGTCCAACTGTTGTGCTTATGTTCGTGCAAGACTAGGTCTATATTGTCCACTGTTCTCAATTGAGTTTGTGAGTTGGACCTTCACTTAAGTTTGCTGCTGGATGATGTTGGTTTAAATCATTTTTGCAGGTTTGCTGACATATCATGCCATTTAAGTGAGTGAGGGTTTTGATGTAGTATCAGTTAGTATTACGTATATAGCCTTGTCTACCTGTTCAAGTATGATCATGGAGTGTTGGCCTCTGGTCGGAGACCATCACAACCTGCCGCAATATGTATATTATAATCTGTCGGGACTACATTTAGCTTGACTTGGCCATCACAACCTGCCAATATGTATATTATAATCTGTCGGGACTACATTTAGCTTGATTTGGCCATTGCTGATTTTGGCTGGTTCTTGTAGAGTCCAACCAATCCTTGTATCTTTCTGGATTTTGGTGTTGGACCTGACTGCTCATCAAGATCAGCTTTGAGTTAGGACCTGCTTTATTTGTTTAGCCAAGCCAAAATAGTCGTGAGTAAAGTTTTGTGTGGGCAGTTTCAGTTTTTAATTTCTTCTTCCTGCTCAGAAGTGTCGACGAATGAAATCAAACACTCTAGGAGGATCTGAATGATGTTGCTTAGTTATCTGTCTGTTAAAATAAACCATATTGTATTATAAGCTTCTATATCTATAAGCTTTACTATTTTCATTGGCTAGGGGGAGGATTTGGATTCTGCTTTTGATAGCATTTCAGCCTTTTCAAGTAAGAAAGATAATCAGGAAGCAGTGTTTGGAGCTGAAGAAAGGCTCATAGATATCAGGTAGATGCTATAGATATTTTCCTTTAAATTTTTTATAAAGTCATGATTAGCATGTCTAGGTAAAGTGTTTGAACATAGACTATATTTTCCTTACACTAGTTTTTCCATATTTGTTTCATGTGTATTTATCAATCTGGATGCAGTCACATGTTAGCATAGACATTTACTCATTCATATGTGTATCATTTTTCTCAGATGTGATGCAGTATATGACATTAAGTTTCTGCATTTCTAGATATTGGTTGGTCATTTCTAGCTTGTAAATCGAAGTAGAAGTCTTCTTGAGATTATATTCACTATAAATTCAAAAAATTGATGTTAAAAAAAAATTAAAAACACAAGAGTTATCACTATTTAACTTGGTAAGACTGGTTTGGCAACAGTTAAATTTAGAAATTCACATTAGACTTGTGGACATGTTATCATTACGTAATGGATGACAATTTTGTCTACTTGTTTGCTGAAAATTGTCAGCCACTAATCTGTTATCATCGATTAATTTAGCTTTTATTAGGTCTATCTTGACAATTTTGTTTTATTTTAGGACTTTTAATATAATCAATAGGCAAAAGAAGTGTACATTTGTCTTTTTTGTGATTAATTTTTCTACGAAGCAAACAATTGAGATGTTGAGAGTTGTTGGAGATGCTAGACAAGCAGGGTTAGAGGTTAAGGAGGGTAAGAAAGTGGAGAGCAAGGTTTGTCGTACCGCAGCAGACCACTTGGTATGGGCGGTACGTACCGGTCTGTCGTTAGCACTACTATCTAAATGTCAGGTAGGTGAGAAGACATCTCTGGACTCCTTGTTTTAAGATCAGATATGCAGTTGAAGGTCTATTTCTGTTTTGTACATATCTCAAAAATGTTCTCTGTATGATACTTTTTATTTTTGTAAATAGTTCGGGTACTGGCAGATAGTATGTCTAGCTAAATGGCAGGTAGACAGCTAGATATCCTGAACTGTTATTTTCAGGTAGATATGTGCTCCTAGGTCTATTTCTCTTTCATGCCTCTATCGAATTCCTAATGCTTGCACTCATTAGTTTCCTTCTGGGGACTGACAATCACTGCTTACTTGATAATTTTCATAGAACTAATGCTTTCATTTATTACAAAAACCTTTCTTATTAGGGAGGCAAAACTGGCTTACAAAGCAGAAGTTCTAGAATTGCAAAAGCAGCTTGAGCGTCAACAGTCTCTATTTGATATGCTAGCAGGTCAAGCTTCAGCTCTTATCCAGGGAAGAAGGGCTAGAGTATCTGCAACATCTGTTGTCAATGCACAACTTATTACATTAGATGAGAACCTTTCAGCCAGGAACTTAGAGGTAGACCTCATTTTTCTGAACTTGTCATGTCATGTTTTGATGATGGCGATTGCGTAAGTTCTTTGTTTGAAAGGATACAAATGTGCCAAAATGTTAGGTTTGATGTAGGGAGTTGAGGCAACCTTTATGCTGGTATTTCTTGCTGATGCGACATTCCCATTTCAAATTTGTGATTCTTTCAGTCTGCAAAAGAACCCCTGCTATTGTTCCAAGAAAAATTGGTTGTCCCTGTGTATGTCATTGAATACCTGCAAGATACTGGCAGCACATGTAGTTCCATGACCATATGCAGTGCTTGGATTTGGATTATTATTTCATTGTTTGATTTAGATTTATTTGTACTGAACCATCAAAAACTTTTTTTCATATACTACTATAATTTCTATAATATTTCTAGGTTGGGCTAGGGTATGAGTGAAACTGCTTTTTTGATGTTTTTTCATAAAATATAATTTTGCATTCTACAGGCATATGCACATGAAGATTGTTTACCATCTTACACTACCTGTGATGCATTGCTGTTCTTGTTTTTTGAAGTCTTTTTCTACATAAATTTTAAGTTGCATTTACTAGTACTTCCTATGATGCATGGAACTCTATGTTCACATGTTGCACTATTAACTCATCAACAACTTAACTCACTACTTTTCTTGCTTTTAGATGAATTCTGTTCTAGGGAAAATTGCCTCAACAGCTCAGGAATTGGCTCATTATCATTCAGGAGATGGTAAGTTATCTTCATATCACTAGGGTCCAACTGCCAAGCTGCCTCAAGGATATAGGATATGTTGTTATCTTCTCCTTCATTTTATGCAGAAGTTTGCTTGACTCAAAATATTGTTTAATATCTATAATATATTTTTAGTATTCTGTGATATGCAGAGGACAGGATCTACTTAGCTTACTGTGACTTCCATCCTTACTTGATTGAAGATCTGGCCTGTACAAAAGAATTAAACCAGTGGTTCTCAAAACAGTTTGATAGGGTAATCTCTCTTATTTATTAAGTGCCATCTTTGCTAGGTCTTTTAAGATTTTAATTTCTTAAGAATGTTGTTTATGAATGTGTCACTCCATCTTTTCTCCTTAATTCAGTTACAGCAATTGCTGCAATAGTTGTTCAACTATACTTGTACTAATTGAACAGATGAGATTGTTAAATTCTTAGTGCTTGAGGACTACCAGCTACTGCGACCTAGATTACTTTAGTCCAAAGAATTATGCTGAGAGGAGAATAACATTGAATTAATGGTTTAATTATAGTTAAATTTAGTTGGATGAAGCATGCATACTGCATAACGATTTTCCTAAAAGAGCCAAAAGGGTGAATAACTAGAAAAAGTCTTTGGAGAGAGATATTAAATAGGTACACAAGTCTGAAATCCTCCTACGGCTGTTGCATATGTTCTTAGTCCGAAATCATCTATGTTTGCAAGTGTTAAAGTCGTGTCCCCAAATTTTTAAAGAAAGTGTCAGCAGTAGACATGCATATGAAAATCTTCTGAATCGCACTCACCCATTCTCTGTGCAGCTGCCTAGTAATTAGAAAAAAAGATGAGCTAAGTTGATGATGAGTTGGTCCTAGGAAAGGGTTGGCTAAAGAAGGGCAGCCAGAGGACCACTCAAAAGGCTTCTATTTAGGATTTTTGGAAGACTTTTCTCTATAAATAAGAGTGTCAGTGAGCAAAAAACCATATCAGACCTCTAATTTATTACCTTTACAGCATTGTAGTTTTTGAAGATATTTCTTAGTTTAGTGCCTTGGAGGTGTTTTAAAGGAAAAAATCATTCATGAGGAGGGGTTGTTTCTAATGGTTACAGGAATTCTTTGTCCATAACCACACCACTCATCAGACATTATATTTACTGTTATTATATCAAAATATATGTTAATGGTGGAAGTGAATTTTTAAACAATTTTGTGACATATTATGAAATTAAAATTATTTTGCAATTATCATAAAATTACAACCAAATTGTCAAATTGTTTTACTTTTAACTATTCTTCTAGTCTCCCTAGATCTTCATTGTCTTGCCAAATTGATATTCATATTTGTGTCCATGGAACCCTGCATGACAGTCATCTCTTACCACTTCATCATTTGCCATTGATTGTAACAAGTCTACCTTCGTGTAATAAGGAAGAAAAGTCATATGTATTTTTCGACCTGGGAGTCTATTTGTTGGGGTGAGGGGAAAGATATGATGGCAGTGTATTACTATGGTTGTTTTGTGGTTATAAGATGTCCTGAACTGCATGATGGTTTTCATTTGACAGTGTGTTGAGGCTTAGAGATAAATAGGCATTACTAATAAATAACACTGAAGTCATGTATTGTGCATCATCCTATACTAATGTATTTGACACTGTATAATGGCCCAACACGAGGTGCTTGTGTTCATTGTGGTGATGACACTTGCTACATACACAGTTACAAATGCTAAATCTGCAATTTAAATGTTAAAGTTAATGATGATCAGGACTGGGCAATCCCAAGTCAAACTAAGGTGAGTTTTCTGATCTCTGGAAACAAAATAACCTGTGAGAAGCTTTTTTTAAAATTTTAAATGTATGTTGCTCAAGTGTTATGCCCTGGCTTGACCAAAGATCAATTTTAATGTAATTTGAGCTGGATGATTGGCATGGTCATGTCCTTTTCCTGCTTTAAATGAATGCTGTCATAGGTTGACAAATTGAATGACTCTTGGAAGCATCAACTTCTCGCTTCATGTTGTGCATTTCATGAATAGAAGCGCCATGGTTGTCAGTTTCATTAAGTGAAGTATGAAGTCAGTACCACAAATTATTGCAGATCCTATTAGTGATCAAACAAGACAAGAAATATAGGCAATATTGGTATATGACATGATTGTTGCAAAACATGGTACATGCTTGAGAAGACAGGGAGAAATGAAGGGGCAGGACAGATGGAGAAAGAAAGATAGAGAAAGATTGCTGGAGGAAAGAGATGAATAGAATGTCATTATATCAATAAGTATATAGGCTTAACCCATGTAGCATTTACATGTCTAATAATGGCCACATATCAATCTTATGAACTCCATTATCAATATAATTATTCAGTAGTATGTAGTTAAGTGCAATTTGATGGTGAGTACTAGATATCTGTTGATAGAACTAATCTAGTTAATACAAAATAGCCTTTCAGTACTCTTGTACTTCTGTTTACTGACACTAATTTGTTTGTTTGGTTAGGGACCATTGCGACTTGTTGCTGAGGAGGGTAAATCTAAGTGTTCATGGGTGAGTCTTGATGACCTAACTAATTGCTTAATCCGAGGTATATTCCTGGTCTAGCTTTCTCACTTGTTGCACTTAGGAGTATTGGTCTTTATTTCTTGCAGTTCCTGCAAATTCATCTGTACATCTTTAAGTAACAGAAGTGATTAGCCAGATATTCTAAATTGTTAAAATGGTGGTATTGTGGAGTCAGATATCTGGGGATGATATTCTAAATTGTTGCAAAATTCCCATGTGGACAAAATAAAAATTAGGGGATGATACTGTGCTTCAGATAACTGGTAAAACATAGTTCTTTTTGCTTGGTTTGATGATGATGGAAAGTCCTTCATACCTGATGATGAGTAATCTTTCTATTCTATAGTCTTAATGAATAGCAAGCTGCATCAACACATCTTGATGACAAAGTCTCTTGGAAGGGGATGAGTCACCATATATTTAGTTTGGCTAGAGGTCCTATCATTCATAATTCTGTATTGCTGATTGATCATTCATTACACGTCCGAGTTCTTCCACGATTCAGATTTAGCTATGAAATGAAGTTGCCTTTAAATACTTGGACTTTGCTTATCTTTGCTTAAGAATTAATTACGGGGGTTTCAAGAGGAAAAAACTCTCCTCAGTGCCACTATTTATTCTTATGGAAGATCATTTCATATTTGAGAGAAGGTCGTGGATTTTGTGATGGACATGTGGATAAGTTGCAATGCAGAGATTTCTTGGTTAAGGTTTACAATTTCGTGTATCAATACTGTACCAATTAGGGCTTGGGCTGGTACTGTACCAGTCCACACCAGTGTGCCGATGGTTGGTATGCCGGTTCATATTTAGTTTCCAAAAAAGCCTAAAAAGCTGAGCATATAAGAAAAATTGCCTGGTACGAAGCTTGTACCGCCTTATACCGGGTGGTACCAGTCCTGTACTGATTGGTGTCGGCCCTGTATCACGCATACTGTCTGGTTTACCCTGATCAGTGTAATGTAACCACCTGTTGGACTGATAAATGGTGCCCATACCAAACCATACCTGATACTGATAGTATTGCAAATCTTGTTCTTGGTCAAGACCAAGACCTATCTTGATTGGTCAAGACCAAAGCTTGTACCACCTTATACCGGGTGGTACCAGTCCTGTACTGATTGGCACCGGCCCTGTACCTGGCATCCTGTCCAGTTTACCCTGATCAGTGTAATGGTAACCTGTTGGACCAATAATGGTGCCCATACCAAACCATACCTGATGGTATTGCAAATCTTGGTCTTGGTCACAAGGAGTGAGTAGTGGTTTGCAAGGTTAGTTGCTCAATGTGGTGAGGTTTGATGTCTTAAATGGACAGTCTGGTATTTAGTGGTTTGGCTTACCAGTCTGATCGGTTTTTATTGGTTAAATAATAATGGATAAGCAAATTGCCTTGGTTTTCATTATTCCAATCCAAGACCTTATTAATCTTGGCTTCCTTAAGTTAAAGACTTGATCAGACTAGTTTAATTCTTGAGAAATCCAATCTTATGAAAATCCATTGGTTTTAATTATGCCCTAAATCTTTCAGTTTTTTTGAGGGAATGAGATCAGAAGTGAAGAACAAAATGGAGAAGGCTGAGCAACTTTGATATTTCTTATAGGAATAAGTGGGCGGATCATGATTTATATAGGGGGAAGGATTGTGGTTTCATGGTGGGGGCATGTCATGCCAATACCTTTTTGGTATGTTACAATCTCATTCGGTGTTGTGCTGGTTTGCGTAGGCCAAATATTTTGCACCACCTATGGTTTGGATTTCAAGGAATTTGTTGGTAGTTGACCAGTGCTGATCATCATTATTGATGTAGGCAAAATAGATTTTCAAGAGCATGAGGACTATGACATTTTATTTATGGGGGCAAGAAAGATGAGTGACACCATTTTGTGGTTCTGCTCACTGTGGAAGGAAGAGAGAAAGGGGAAGAAGGCATTGGTTTAACATATGCATTACACTTCTTTGTTTATTACATTGTTGGCTTATGGGCATTTAGTGTCACGACCTTACAATGGGCAATGGAATTGTTACCTAACTGATGTTAAGCGTGTACCAAAGTTGACCCACAACCATAAATTGGACTGGGCTACAAAGTAGACTTTCTGAGCAAAGATACTTGGCAGCTATTGTCTTTAGAATGTATCTTTTTTTCTTTTTTTCCTGAGCAAAGAGCTTATTTACATTAAAAAGTTTATAATTTGGGATGTTGAGGTTTGGAACTTGCATTGTATCTGTTTTTTTTACTATGAGCAAGAAATTTACATTATCTGTACGTGTTTCTTAACGCAGCAAATGTTTACTTGCTTAGTTTTTGGCTTTTCAAGTATTTGTTGACAACTAATTCTTCTTTTCTTCTCTTGGTGTTGCATCTCTAGGAGATAATGAGAAACATAATCATCATCATAATCGTGTAGCTGAGCTCCAAAGGCTTCGTTCCATGTAAGTTTCTTTATGCTTTATACATTATATTCATTCCTTAGTTTCCTGGTCACAACACAATACTAAATTGCCCTAGTAAACTTTGTCATAAATTTTATTATTAGTTGTTCATTTGCAGTTGATTTTGAGAGATACTAGTGTCTAGGTTGAAGTTTTGCTTATTCATGATAAACAAAATAACATTATTCTCCGATATTTTGCTTAAAATATAATAAACTAGTAGTTAAACTGTTAGTATTAATATTTTAAAAAAGTGACTGCGGTATGAGCTGTTAAGGTACTGCATAGCACATAAAAGAAGATGCAACTTCCTATGTGATTCAGTTTAAATATTTTAAAAATATTTAGTTTTGTGTATATTATTAGAAAAATTAGGTAATAGTTTTAAAAATATTACAGTCCGTCTTGCTTTGTCTCATATTTGATTAGGCAAAATGGATCTAATTGGTCACAGTCACTCATTTTTTATCTGCATAATCTGTTTCATTGGGTTTATGAGTCAGGTCCTAGAAATCCAACCAGAATCATAGCTGTTTAAGCAATACTATAGATTAAATATTGTATTCAGAATCTAGATATTCTTCTCATGACATAATCAAATCCAATCATTAGGTGCCTTTGAATTTTCCGTATGCAAGGAATACGGTTTTGCTTGGACTGGCACATACTGGCCGGTATTTACACATCCAAGTGTGAATCAGGATGTGGACCACCCATTTTCGGGCTGGGTGTTTTTTTTTTAAACACTGCAGCTTAGGGTTTGCATCCAGATGTGGAGTTGCGGACACTCCAGCTCTCACCGGCACGTACCGGCGAATATTTACAGATCCGAGTGTGAATCAGGATGTGGACCACCCCTTTTGGGCTGTCTGGTCCTTTTTTTAAACACTGCTGCTTAGGGTTTGCATGCAGATGTGGAGTTGTGGACACTCCGGCTCACACCGGCACATATTACCGGCCAATATTTACAGATCTGAGTGTGAATCAGGATGTGGACCACCCCTTTTCAGGCTGTCTGGTCCTTTTTTTAAACACTGCTGCTTAGGGTTTGTATACAGACGTGGAGTTGCGGACATTCTGGCTCACACCGCCTTACACCTGCACCACAGTTCCACTCGCTGCCATTGTATGTCCCCTCCTTCTTCTCTCCTCTTCCTCCTTTGCCTCCTCTCCTCTTCCTCTTTCTCCTACTCCTCGCCACCTCTATGGTCACCTCCTCTTCTTTTCCTTCTCGCTTTGTGGTGCCATGGAATACACTGATGTACCATTTGTCAGTCAGCCAGCATGGATCAGATTGTACAAGTCTGGCCATGGACCAGTATAGGTCCGGTACCCAAAACTGCAAGCGTTGTTTATAACTTTCTCATGAATTCTTTTAATATGAAACTGCAAGCGTGGTTTCATATAATTTGGAGTTCTACTAATGATATTCTACAATTTGAAATCAGACACAAAAATCCTCTTAATATGATATGATATTTTAGCCAATCTTCTCTCTTTAGAAATGTACTTGTCTTGATTATGAGTCTTCTAACCTATGATGAAATTCTATCTTCAAGTACCTTTGATAAAATTCTATTTTCTTTATTACTTCATCCTGTAAACTTAGGATCTTCTGCATTTCCAAATATTTGTTGTATTTTGATAGGTGCTCATCACGATGTATTTTTCTATAGAATGTTTATCAACTTCAAGTATATCATTTCATCATATATACATATATTTTCTAAACCTCTTGTTGGAAAGAGCCTTTGGTGATGCTTTCTTCAGTCTCTCATATTTAATTTTCATGAAGTTGCAAATTTATTTTCTTTTGTTCCATTATATTTTTCTATGTACATGTATATCGTTGTGCAAAACTTAACAACCTGGTTGGTAGGTACTCTAGAACGAGGTATAGGTCTCTATTACTGAATATTAATGCTTAGAATTTGAAACCACAAGAAATGATTTTTTTTCCTATTAATTGGAGAACTTTTTCAACAAAATATTTCTGTCATACTCTCTTTTCACTTTCTATTTCGCTTCATCATTAGTGCCAGCTATTTCTTATATAATATATTTTAATTTGGCTATAGATTTGCTACAAGCGAAAGACAGTGGGTGGAAGCTCAAGTTGAGAATGCTAAGCAGCAGGCTATTCTTTCAATGCTGAAGGCTCAAATATCTTCTGATGAAGCTCACATTCATCGGGATATATATTCTCTTAGGTACTTCATTCTTTATTTGGCTGCCTATTGTTTTCTACATCGTTATTATTTTACATCATTCGGTTTAAGAATTTTCTAGCTTGGTACTTTGCATTTGCTGCTTGCAATGTGTTGCTTGTGTGTCCTAAGAATTTTCTCTTACTTGGACTCACTCCTGGATTAACTACATTCCAGAGTTTTAACGGTCAAACGATCAGTCTACACATCAGCTAAACTGTTCTAAGCACTTAAAATTTTTAATTGTCTGCATATAGTTTTCTGCATCATTATTATTTTGTACCATTCGGTTTAAGAAAATTCTAGCTTGGTACTTAATATTTGCTGCTTGCAATTTTGCCTGTATGTCCTTAAGGATTTTTTCTTACTCGGACTCATTCCTGAATTAACTACATTCCAGACTTTTAATGCTAAAAAAAAATCAGTCTACACATCAGCCAAACTGTTCTAACTTGTTTTCGGATAATTCTAAATAACTATTTAGGAAAATTCTTGGCAATTTTCTTTTAACCACGAATATTGTTTTGCTTTGGATTGTGGTCCTTGATCGTGACTGATTACCAGAATGGCTTCAATTGTCGTTAGCGAAGTGGCTAAGTTGCATACACATGCATAAGGTGACACTAGTGGATAAGATTGGAAAGGTTGGATGCCAATGGGAGTTGAGCTGATTTCATGGATAAGTAATCTAGTTGAAAATAGAACACAGAAAATTGAGTCTTCAATAGGTGTTACATTCTCTCTTTGTCCATGTACAAATGGTAATGAGGCTTTTAGGTGAATCTCATTCCCAAAATTTTTTTTGGGCCAATCATGATTTATGTGCTTGTTTTAATGGGAACTTCTAATTTGTGTTTCCAAAATGTGATGCAAAGAGATACTTATACAACTCTAAAGAAAATTTTAAATTCTTCTTGGTGACCTTTTATTATTTTGTCAGTGTCATGACCTGGGCCTAATGAGTTAATTAGCCTATTAACTTCGTTTGGTCAAAATGTCTAAGCTGAAGTTGATAGTAGTCCACTCATCAGACTCTTATAAGCCAATCTTAATCTTTCCCACTTCCGATGTGGGACTAATTAGGGTGTTACAATCTCCTCCACTCAAGAGCTTGACATTCTCGTTAAGGTTGATGCATGTGAGGCGTAGCCCAGCCTAGTGGTGGCTCTACGTCGTGACGAGTCATCGGGCTCCATCTACGGATTGTCCTTTCCTACTCGAGCCCCCTCAGCATACCCAAATATTAGTTCGGCTCTCATACCAAATGTCATGACCCGGGCTTAATGAGTTAACTGGCCTATTAACATAATTTGGCCTAAACCACTGGCTAAAATGCTTAAGCTAAAGTTGATAATAGTACACTCATCAGACTCTTATAAGTCAATCTTAATCTTGCTAATTTCCGATGTGGGATTAATCAGGGTGTTACAGTTAGTCAGGACGTAAATAATAATGATTAAGCAGTGTGGACCATTTTTTAAATTGGGAGTCTCAGTCACTCTTTTGGAACTTTGCTTTGCTTTGTTCAATATAGTTTCCCTGTAGTCACTGGGATGTTGTTTTGCTTGGCCTTGAGGATTAAGGTGCAGGAATATGGAATGACACTAGTGGAGGATTGTTTTTAATGAAATCCAAGGAGAATTGAGCAAATACACAAATGCCAAAAGAGATTATGACATTGAGTTAGATTTTCATAGCTTGATCAAAATTTATTGTTCTTTTCTCACATTTGAGTGTACTGCTAGGAGTCTAGGAAGGAATCAGGAACAGATCACCATCATTGTCAAGCAAGTTGGCGTTGACATAATGAGTGTAGAGATTGAGTGATCCTATAGTGAGAATCATGGTTCGCATTATCGGTCTGTACCGGTATACCGATCAGCCATCGATATTGTACGTACCGATATACCGACACATGATACAGTGAGGTATACCGATAGATTAATATGTGCCATCCATATCGGTCCCTTATCGGATCAGTACATATCGCCCATACCGAGTGGTATGTCACAGTATGGCGGACCTTGGCGAGGATCACATTGGCTAACCCTACATTTCCATTATGGTGGCGCTGGTTGCTTGCGTACATGGTATTGCTGAGTCGCTGACAGAGTCAGGCTGCCAAAAAAGGATTTTTTTGATATGATACATATAGTACACTTGTAGCACAGTCATATTTAAAAGGAATAAAAATGTACTAACTGTACCTCAATGCAATGGCAAGTTACTGTGTTGGACTTAATGTCCAAACACATTGCCTGCATGTAGCCTGGAACATTTCATAGATTATGAAAAGCCCAATTTTCATTGGTGAATACACCACCATCAATGGTATGTTCTTTTGATGATCATTCAGATTTTATATTATTAGTTTTAGGAGCTGACTGATAAGGAAATTGATAGACGCGGTTGTTAGAATTTTGATATTTTTATTTTTATTTTGCAAAATTTAGAATCTGCAGAATCCTCACAAGATTTCTATGTTAACCCTGCAGGAAAAAGCATTCTGAGTTGGCCGGGGAACTTTCAACTCTCTCCCATAAAGAGCAGAAATTTTTGTCTGAGGTACTCACACTGTTTAATTTTACATATGACACTTCTCGTGGCTTCATCATACTAGTAGAGTTTATTGCACTTTGCTGCATTATATCAGTTAACTCTTCATCTTGTTTTATTTCATGCCTAATAGAATTCCTCAGCTGACTATATTGGTTGATAGACACTGTTGGTTGGAACCACTGATCTTTTCCTTGATTCTATATTCAAAGAATTATGTCTGTATTTGATATTTTTGACAACACAGAAAGGTTCTTGTCTGTTTGTTTATATCCTGCTTTGTCATGAAGAGCATATGAAAAGTTCTTTCATTTTTTGAGGCAAAATCATGTCAGCTTATCACCTCTATGCCTCAGTGTGTAAAATATAAAACCTTCATCTTGGGTTGGCCTTACAATCATTGTTCTTGAGGCATTTTTTAAAACTCTACTTATTTCCCAGTCTTTCAAACTTCCAAACGAAGTCATTGTATGGGAATCATGCTGTTTTTTGAATTTTACATTTAAATTTTGGCATCAGTACCAAATACCTTAATCTGATATATTAATCACACTGATCTGATGTACATGGAGAAAGACTCGAGATCACAGCAACTTGAAATTGCTATTTTGACAAGTAATTGATGGAAGTTGATTGTTTCTTCTTTCTTAATTTCTTTTACTGAATATTGAAATTAGTAATATGGTTTCACAGCTTTTGACAGGTAATTGAGCATATGAAAAGTTCTTTAATTTTTTGAGGCAAAATCATGTCAGCTTATCATCTCTATGCCTCATAGAGTGAAATTTAAAACCTTCATCTTGAGTTGGCCTTACGATAGTTGTTGTCAACTCTCCTAACTTCCCAGTCTTTCAAACCTCCAAATGCAAGTGATTGTATAGGAATCATGTTGTTTTTTGAATTTAACATTTAAATTTGGCATCAGTGCCAAATACCTTAATCTGATATATTAATCACAATTATCTGATGACACATGGAGAAAGACTCAAGATCACAGCAACATGAAATTGCTATTTTCTCAAGTAATTGATGTAAGTTGCTTGTTTCTCCTTTCTTAATGTCTTTTTACTGAATATTGAAATTAGTATTATGGTTTCACAGGACTCATCTAAATCTATAGTACAAGTTCAATAATGATAAGGACTCCCATTCTAGGGTTGTCAATGTTGAGGTTAACTCACTGGGTGTACTGGGTCCAACCTGTAGCTGATCCAGTTAAGAAAACCCGGCTGAGTGCACTTTTTGATTTCCTCGGCATCAGCTGTTTGGGTTGGTTTCAGGTAAAAGTCTTGGACATTGGGCCATGACAAACAAAATTTCTGATGGTGTAGGACTTTAAGTGTTATTAGTAAACCAAAATTGTTTTTTCTTAGACCATACTGAAGGTAAATAATTGTTTCTGGAATATGGAAAGTAGTATATCTTTTTCCAATTTAATCATGATTTTTAAGCTTTGCACTTGTGGAGACTTCCTATACTAGGTTGAACAAGAATGTCTCAGCCTGGGGCCTAACATGACTCAGAAAAGCATAAGCAGAAACCTGGAGTGCATCAGAATTGTAAAGAAAAATTTTAGCTGCTTTTGTCTGCAGGAGAAATGAACCAGTAGCCACGTGTCTCATATGACTTCTGCATTGAGTTGTGTTAGAGTGAACAGTCCATAAGAACCCTAATATTTGAAAGATCAAGAGATTGGCATGGATCTTCATTGATGCAAATCATAAGGTTTCAATGATCAAATCATTTAAGAACTAGTTTAAGTGAATTCACAATTAGCAGAACTTTTAATAGGTGTGAATTGAAGATTGAAAATTTGCTGTAACACATTCTATTGGAATAGAAGATTGGTAATTAGCAGGAAGATTGAAGGGACACATTCTATTAGAATAGAATAGTGTTAGGCAAGGGTTGAGTCTTTCAGATTTAGACTCAATTTGGTTGTATTTTCAATTTTCTAAAGTTCAGTTTAGTTCCATCTTTCTTTTTCTATGTATCTAGGAGCTGTAAAAGAACTCCATCTTTCTAATATTATCTCCCTACAATCTACCATGTCACATTCTGTGTGTCAACTGTTAAATATGCTTTATAGACAATCTCACACATTATGATGTTATTTTGATAACTTCATCTTGTAAGCCTTCCAAATTTTTAGATAATTTTAATGAACTCAACAGCAATCGTCAAGTAATTTGTTTCATGGATGATCTGAAATTACTTGTTCAGCAACATGTTGAAGCTATTATAGACAAAAATACAAAACCATGATTCTTATGTGTGATGTGGAAGTGGTTGCTCAACTTTTTTGAATCCACCATGACCATAGAAGCTCTATTGAAGCTGCAATCTTCTTTGGATCTATTATTAGTAAAGTTGTTATCTAGTAATCTGACTTTATTTCAATATTATGTTTCTTAAGTGTTGAAGCCTACTATTATGTTTATCATGCTTGTTTCTGTAGTTGATTTGATCCTTTTATTGCTTCCTGTTCTCCTATTTCTTCTCCAGACTATTCCACGTCTTTGCTCAGATCTTGCTCAACTCCAAGACACCTATATTTTGCAAGGTATAATGTACAAGAAAACAAAAGTTATCATGAAGAGTGATATTTTAACCTTTTTTTGTCAATTTCTCAGGCGATTACGACTTGAAGGTTATGCGGCAGGAGTACTACATTAATCGGCAGAAAATGGTATGATAATTTTCTCTCTATAGAATGCTGTTTATGAATTTATAACCTTTCAAATTCTTTTGTTGATGTTTAATAATTTTCTGATTGCTACCTGGCTTTTCCTTTTGCAATAAGCAACTTATTTATGTTTATCAACCAATTTCAAAAAGTTCCTCTGATAGATGATGAGGCACCTTTAATCTTGAAATTGTTATTGTGGATTGATCACACACTTCTACTCTTTAGTGCACTATATTGCATATGCAACTTTTTGTCTTGCTTCTTCATAAGTAATCAAATTCACACAGAGTCAAATCCTGTAGCATCTAATGGAATATGGACTAACATGCAGTTCATTAAGCATGAGGAATTATGGTTTGGCTAAGAATAACATTTCACATGAGAGACATTCTTTTCCTTGAATTTTCCTCCCTTAAATGCCAATTTTTTAATTGAACTCCCTCTTTTTTGTTCTTCAACCATGGAGTCTTCTTGTAATATTTGAGTTAATTTAATAAAATCCTTTGTAATATCTGTTTATCCGATTACCCATTATAGTTGTATTTGAAGAACACAGCTTGAATTGTCCATACCTTTCAGATGACTGTGAATTCCTGTTGGCTAAACCTGACACACTTTTCTGTATGAGACCTCAAATCAGCATTTACCTGTTAAGAATTAGGTCAAATAATAAGCACTCCATGCAGGATCAGATGCTGGCCCTTACTAACACAAAGGTGTGCTCTGATGTGATTTTTTTTTTTTGAAACTGCACCTTCTTGCCTGCAGAGCAATGTAAAGTTCCATGGTTTCATGTAAACAATATAGTGTGCACTGTTTATGGTGCTAGTATCAATGGCAAGCAATCCTGATTGTAAATGCTGGGGCTTCCTGATATTTGGTGTTATAACAATAGTATTGTTTGTTGATTTCTCCATCATGCTGGAACTGTTATTAAAATGAGGCAACAAATAATTTTGTTTAGCTTTGCAGATTGTTTATTTAATATCTAGTCTTTCTTTTATTCTTGTTGCTTTTGGGACATATCATTTTTGGTGCCAGCGCCTTTCTATGTGTACACTTTTGACCTATGCCATCCTGTTCTAAACAACATGGTGATCCTTGTTTCTTATAAGAAAATTAAATTTACAAATGAGTAATGCCAGAAGTTCTGTGCAGAAGAGTAACCAATGAAAACTTTTTTTGGTACCACCATCTAGATGTCCCCATATCTGATGGTAATATATTTGGCTGAAAATATGTTTGAAGTAATTATTTAGGCAATTCTCTTTAATGTGTTGATGATGAAACAACCTGGAACTTTATCCCTTGTACAAGGACTATCCCTTTTCCTTTGAAGCGAAAAATAGACAGTGTATATCATTTTATCAATTAGGATTATGAAATAAGGACTACAAGAGAGAGGAAGAAAGAGTGTGACAATGAAAATGAGTGAGTGTGAGAGTGAGAGGGAAAGAAGCACAAGGCGATGACAACCATTATAGACTTAACATCATTGCGAATTGTTTGCAAAAGTAATAAAAAAACTCTAGCTTTTTAGCTGAGATATTGACTTTCCATCCAAAAAATCCTCCTATCAGAAGTCTTCACCGAGTACGAGGACAATGTATTGTTATACATGACTTGTAAAATTAATGAATCTGGCAGTGACTGTCATGCAGCAAAATTACTGGGTAGAACAACAAAATTGTGCACTTTTGATCCCTTTTCAATGGGTAAAAGAAGCCTGTCTACATAATGACATGACAATATGGATTTATTCATTTATTTAGTATCAAAATGTGAAAATTTTGTGGTTGTGACTTCTTATCGTCTTTTTTGTATTCGGTGGAGTACTTCAAGCACTATTTTGATCTCATCATTCTATTTTCAACAGTATGATTCTAGTGGCACATTCTTTTCTTCTTTTGTTGAATTCATGATGGTGGATCATACTAAAGAATCTCATGTTTTGCAGTATATTAGTCATCTAGTTAATCAACTTGCCAGACATCAATTTTTGAAAATAGCTTGTCAACTGGAGCGAAAGACGATACTTGGGGCTTATTCATTGCTTAAAGTGATTGAGTCAGAGTTGGAAGGCTATCTATCAGCAGGCAATGGTCGCGTGGTATGCAAACAACTATTCATCATTTCAGCATCATATGTAGGAGGGCTGGTTCAAGTTCCAAATTGATACCAATGCTTGTGTTCTATTTGTTCAAATCCGATCCTCATT